TTAGCTAACTTTTATTAAAAAAAAAAAAAAAAAGAAGAAGAAGAAGAAGAAGAAAAGGAAAGCAAAAAGTCACTCGACAACCCCCTGCAGTAATAATTTTCTTAGCCGTTCTTGGAAAAAGAGAGAACGAAAGGGAGGGAAAAATCTGTCGAACAATCCAGCGGAGCAAGTTCGAGATTCCAGCTCGATTCGAGATGGAAAAGGAGGAAACAGCCATGGAACGCATTTTTACATTTGCCTCGGAGCACAGTAGCCGCCATAATGGAATATCTGAAGTTCAGCTCGGGTAAACACACTTGGGACACGGGGAAATTCAGCGGAAAAGAAGCGGGATGAAAAGGAAAACAGACGATTTTTTTTCCCGCTCCCTCCCTCTTAAAAAAAAAAAAAAAAACTCAGCATATACTCGGGTTAAAGCTCGAGCTTCAATTACGTTATCCATATTAAAAACGATATACGGCTTCGATTGTAATGAGGATCCATTTCTTTTCTTCTCTTTCTCTCTCTCTTTCTCTGCTGAGATTTCTTTTTCCATCTTGTTTATATATATATATATATATGTGTGTGTGTGTGTATGTATATTTTTTGTATTTTTCTTTGTGAAAATTTATACATATATATATGTGTGTGTATGTATATTTTTTGTATTTTTCTTCGTGAAAATTTAGAATTGTAAGAAAATTAAGATTTGTAAGATTTAAGTTTAATTATTATTTTTGGTAATTTTTATTAGATCTTTTTAATGGTTGAAGGTCAGGTTGAATTTTTCCAAGTTTTCAAGCATAAAATATTCTCTCTTCTCTTTGTTTCGAGTAGTTTCCAAGAATTTCGCCTCATCCTCGTTTTTCCTTTATTTTTTCTTTTCCTGCATCCCTTATATCTCTCTTTCGCTTCAAACTTTTTAATCTTCCTTTCCTTCTTTTTCCTCTTGGTCTCATTTTAATACGTATCTCTCGGCTGAAAACTATATTACGCGGATCAAAAAAGTTTAAATTTTCCATTTTTCCATACGTTGAAATTTCCGAAATTTCGTATTCAATGTACGAATCATCATCGAGAAATTTCCTCGAATTTGATTCAGATTTCAAACAACTGCAAAACGAGTTTCTCAGTCATCGAAAGTGGTGAACGATTCTGGATTGAATCGCATTTCGAACTACTTCTTTTTTTCTTTTCTTTTTTTTTTTTTTTCAAGAAGAACAACAGGCAAAGCAGAATGTAATAACAAAATAATTCCTGCATTCCTGTTGTCGATCTCCAACGGTGGATTTTCTTTATTAAATTCCAAGCCTGTACGCCTTAAGTATTCAACCCCTTCGAGCAGTCTGCTCTTTGTGAACGCGGTGAAACACGCTCCTTCCGATCATTCGAACGTCTTTTGTTCCTCCCACTTCACCTTTTCTTTCTATTTTTTTCTTTTCTTTTTCCTTTTTCAACGACCGATCCCAGGAAAACCGAATAATGCACCATTGAATCCTTAAATACGAGAGAGGATGTCGTATATTGTTAAAAAAAAATGGATATGTAATGGAAGAAACGGAGAGGGACGGAATACCACAGGCTATATTGGAATGAACGTTGAGATAACTTTGAAAGATCGTTCGAAACGTAATCCAGAAGGAAAAATGTCATACTTGAAATCTTCATGATTTCAAAAGTAGGATGTTTCTTTTTCTTTTTAACACAAAATACTTTACGAAAACGAAGTAAGAAAATATAATATATCGATTTATGATCTATTTCTTTTCACTTACTTACGATAAAGAAAAATAAATTTTAGGATAAATTAGCCTTAAGTGACTATAAATTCCATCTTAAAATTCTAATTATTCCACTGCTATATCTCTACTCAATAAAATCGATCCTGATCATTTGAAAGCATACATATATATTACTTCCACTTTATTAATATATTCTTAATAAAACTTAAGAAGAAAAAATAAATTTTAAGATAAATTAGCCTTAAATGACTATAAATTCCATTTTAAAATTCTAATTATTTCACTGCTATATGTTTACTCAATAAAATCGATCCTGATCATTTGAAGCATATGTGTATATTACTTCTACTTTGTTACTATATTCTTAATAAAACTTACGATAAAGAAAGAATAAATTATAAGATAAATTAGCCTTAAACGACTATAAATTCCATTTTAGAATTCTAATTATTTCACTGCGATATGTTTACTCAATAAAATCGGTCCTGATCATTTGAAGCATATGTGTATATTACTTCTACTTTGTTACTATATTCTTAATAAAACTTACGATAAAGAAAGAATAAATTATAAGATAAATTAGCCTTAAACGACTATAAATTCCATTTTAGAATTCTAATTATTTCACTGCTATATGTTTACTCAATAAAATCGATCCTGATCATTTGAAGCATATGTGTATATTACTTCTACTTTGTTACTATATTCTTAATAAAACTTACGATAAAGAAAGAATAAATTTTAAGATAAATTAGCCTTAAATGACTATAAATTCCATCTTAAAATTCTAATTATTCCACTGCTATATCTCTATTCAATAAAATCGATCCTGATCATTTGAAGGCATACATGTATATTACTTCCACTTTACTAATATATCCTTAATAAAACTTAAGAAGAAAAAATATAGAATTAAGAAGAATTAAGAAGAAAAAATAAAGAAAAAATAAATTTTAAGATAAATTAGCCTTAAATGATTATAAATTCCATCTTAAAATAAATTTTGAAGACATACATGT